CACAGCCTTGCTCGGCCTGTGAGGGGGCCCGGCCCTGATCCGCAGCCCGCATCCCATGCAGCCCTCAGGGCTGGAAAGTTGTGGGCCCCACAAAGGTATCACTGCAAGTCACCTGCAGCAGCGGTTCTCAGAAAATGCCCGGGGTGCGTCGAATTCTCTCCTGCCCATCTCGGTTCCTCTCAGTGCGCGTGGGCAACCCGGCTGCTCTGTGGCACGTGGCCGGCCGGTCGGCCTGCCTGGCCCCCCCACACAAGCTGCCCGAGGAGGCAGCCCCTCCCTCACCTTGCTGTGGGACCCCAGGGCTGCCCGGGAAAGGCGTCCCTGCCCCCCACCCTGAGCTCTGTGCCAAAAGGCCAGCAGTTAATTGGCCATCTGTGGCCGGTCTGCCAGCGAGCTGTCGAAAATTTAATCATCTGAGCTCGACAGGGGCTTGGGGGGTGCAAGTTTTAGTGACAGGGAGAATTGAATTCCCAGCTCTGCCTCTGACAGCTCTGAAATTGGGCTTCAAGGCAGGCGAAGAGGCCGGCGGTGGCGGGGGAGAGGATGCGGGGAGATCCCGTGGGGCCGGCGGTGCGCTCTGGCTCGCAGCCCAGACCCAGGAAGCCCTCTCCTCAGGCCGGGTGCTGGCGGACGTGGAGCAGCCCGTGGGCTCCCTGGCGGGAATCTGTCCTCCTGGCCATGTGCTCCCTGGGAACATCATGCTGCAAATGATGCGGTTCCAGGTGCCGCCCTTGCCTGGCGCTGCTGGCAGATTCGCCACGCGGGCTGGAACTGGGGCAGAGATGCTCCAGCCGCACCGAGCGGGAAGGCGAGAGCCGAGGCCAGATTTTGACTGAACGTCGCAGAAACATGCAGACGGGGGAGGCCGCTTGCTGTGCAGAAAAGCCTTGGACGGGGATGCCCCCCCCCTTTGCTAAAGGCACCTCCTCAGGGGGCCCGAGCCACATCCTGCCTGGCACACCAAGCGGGCACTGAGCAGCGGGCAGGACTCGGTGTGCTGGAAGGTCCCGCACCCCTCTCTCCGCCTGTCGATGCCTCCTGCCAACCCACGTGGCCTCCGTGTGACATGGGAGGCATGGGAAAGGTGCAGAGAAAGGATTCCCGGCGCATCGCACTCTCCCCACACATGCACAGAGGCAGCCTTGGCCGTTTTCAAGCACACGTGCAGCTTTGGCGACCGCCCTCCGGGGGTTTCCCCAGAGGAACGTGTGGCTCTTGCAAGCCCTCGCGCCTCCGTTTGCCCGTGCTCGTCCCTTGGCGTGGCTCCGTTAGACTGGATAAATGCGGCAGCCCCCAGGAGCCCCGTGCAAGCACCTCCCATAGTCCCCAGCATCAGCGAGGGCTCTCGGAAGGCGCTCTGCGTGGGGCTGGGCTCGTGGACCGTGGGGAGCTGCGGCTTGTGTGAACTGTGGCGACGGAAGGTCCAGACCTGGGACACCCAAGACGGTGCTGGCCTGCTTCCACTGCTTGCTGCACACCTCTGAGCCCAGTTCAGGGGGCTCGCCTTAACCCGTGAAGCCCCAGCATGGCTTGGGAGCACCGTGCCTGGCAGAGCGCCTCTCCTGGCCGCAACCTACCAGAGCACCGCGATCGAGATCTGGGGCCTGCCTCGCAGCTGGCACCAACAAGGAGAAGGGCCTTCTCGCTGGCAGCCCCAGCTGTGGAACGCATCCCTGCTGAGGCCTGCTTGGCACCATCCTTACTATCCCCTTGGCACCAGGTTCGGACTGGCCTTTGCACAGGGCATCTCATCAGTTCACTGGGGATTTCTTCGCTGCAAAGCAGATCTTACAATTTAATCAGCATAAGCTATTTTTAGAATGCATTTCAATTTGGTTTTATTTTTTTCTACACTAGATTTTTATGGTGTTTTAATGTTGTTTGCGTTTTAGATTATATTGCTCTGTGTCATGGTAAACTCCCCAGTGAGCTTCAGCTATTGGGCAGTAGAGAAATTAAATAATATTCAACAATGCTCTCCCCCTTTGGCATTTTATTGCCTCCTGACGAGCAAACAGGATTAGCTGTGAACAGCCTGTCCATTTCCCCTGAAATGCCTTGTCCGGATTGTCCCCACGCCAGTTTCTGTGCCGTAAAGAGAGAGGAGGAGAGCTTTAAATACGAATTTTCTCTCACGGTTCGTTTTGGTTTGTTACAGCACAAGAGCAGTATGGGCCAAAACAGTCATGCGGAGCAAAATTGGGGTACTGAAGAGGGATTATTTCAGGGGCCATCAGAAGCCCCTCGTTCATCAAGAAACCGTAAAGCAGAATCGGCAAGCGGAAGCTTTTGATTAAGGATAGAGGAGGTTCAGAAAGCTCCGGTCGCACTTGACTGTCCAGGCAACAGGCTAATGCAGCATTCACGTTGCCTTGCGGACATCCAGAGAAATTCCGTATCGGGAATGAGAATACAGACAAAATGCTAGAATAGTGAGGCTGATAAAAACTCATCTGGAGTCTTTTCAAAAAGCGCGGAAGGCAATTTTAGGCAGAAGGAGAGAGGACTTCCCCCTGCCTGAGGCCACCCTGGTCGCAGTCTTGGTCTGCTCCTGGGCGCACGGTGGGGGAGGCAAGCCCCCCCCCCCAGAGCTGGGCTGTCGTTGCGACCAGCAGGGGCTGGGCACTGGCTTGCCGAGGTGCAAGCGCCGCAGACTTCTGCCCCCGGGCCAGAGCCGCATCCCCCGGCGACGGGCACTGTGCCGCTTGGTGGGCGAGAACGAGGGGCAGGCGGTCGCTGGGACCCTGCAGCATCCGGGGGGGGGGGGCTTTTAAAGCACAGCCTGTCCAGGCCGTCCCTGCCAACCCAATTAAGCTGCAAACGGCTTTAAACCGGGGTGTTAACTAAGGGGGGGCTGCCTGCGTGTCCTGCTGGTGGTTATGCGGCTGAAGCCCATCCGTGCCTGGGCCTGGGGAAGCCAGCAGGGGGCGGGGATCAGCCACTTGGCACATGGCCTCGTGCTCGCCCAGCCTGGCCAGTGGCCAGCCGTGCCACTGCGGGGCCACCGGGTCGGGGACCCGGGGAGGCCGGCCGGCTTCTCTGGCGTGCGAGATGGGGTCTGCAAGGCAGCACAGGCTGTGCCCCAGGGCCGCCCGTGCGCTCGCGGTCTCCGGGTCTGGGGGAGAGCGGCCGGGCCGCAGCCCTCTGGCTCATGTGTGCAGTGAGCTGATGGACACGCGTCCTTGGGGTGCAGATCTGCCCCGAGGGGTGCTGGCGTGGGCAAGGCCCCCCACTCCCCAGGAGCCTGGTGAGCCCCCCACCCTTATCCCCTCCCCTTTCCCTCCCTGCCCTGGTCCCTCATTCTTCCTCCTGTTGCAAAGGGGCACGTGGGCCGTGGTGGCTGGAAGGAGGCCTCGATGAGCGTGTGCAGAGTGCACAGATGCCAACAAGAAAGGGCGGGTGGAGCTGTAAGCGCAGCCAGAACATTTGGAAACAGTAAGACGAAGAATAATTACGGTTACTCTTCTGGTATCGCTGTATAGCTGGAGCAGCCTGGCTCGCTCCCAGGCATCACAACACGTGAAAACCCCACAACACTCGGGCAGTGTTTGAACAGCCTGAACAGATGCGCTGAGACCCCATCAAGCAGCTGACTTGGCAGCCTCCTCGTAGAGTGACAAGGCGGACCCCGGGAATCCATTCCATCCTCCCGTTAAGGGAGGGGGCTCACTGAGAAGCCCCCCCCCATTGCCCATCTTTCCACCTCCCTCCGAGTAGGCAGCTGTCTGGTCCTCTTCTGAAGCTGCCTCGACTGGCAAGCGCTTCAGTTCTGCCAAGCTTGGAACCAAAAGCAACTTTTATTTTTAGAAAACAGCCCTTCCAATTTCACTTTTCTCCCAAGAAGACCGCTGCACAAAAGGAGGGGAAGCTGCACTGCTGTTTTAAACAGTGCGCCCACTACTAGGTACATCGGATACAAAATGTTTATTAAAATTCATGTTTGGGTCTTTATCGCGTGTGCACCGCACTGGATGCATTGTGCAAAATGACAATGAGGCACCTATTCCTTCGCAATGAGCCGTTTAGTATTTTCATCCTCTTGTCGGCGTGGCGGCGGGATGTGGTGCGGGGGGGGGGGTGGCACATGCCGGCCGGCCGGCTAAAAATAAAACCCGCCTCATGCAGAAGATCCTCCTCTTCAATGCCATTCAGTGCGAGAAAAACACGCTCACGCTGCGAGGGCTGTGGCCGAAGGGGCGCTCAGCGCATGAATGCCCAGCGCAGCCTGCGCAGGAGCCCCCTCTCCGGAGGCCCTCCGGCAGGCCCCTTGGGCACCGCTTCGGGGAGGGCTGCCCCGGAGACACAGGAAGCGGCCTCTGGAGTTTCCGCCACTCGTTTTGACCTCCTTTCACTGGCCAGTCCAGGCGAGAACGCCTTCCCGGCCACGTGAGCCACGCAGCTGGCCACTGAGCCCGACTGCGTGACACGGAGCCCCTTTCGCTCTGGCCCAAGCGCTGCTGCCCAGGGGGCTCCGGGGGGATGAGCCCAGGGCTCTCGGTGGCTCTGAGCCTCGGCGGGTCGCGCAGTGGAATACCTGGGACCTCCCTGTCCGGAAGGCCTGCTGCTGGAGGGCCCCAGGTTTTGCGGAGGATGCCAGATTGGGCGGGCTTTGGGTCCGGCCCCCAGGGCTCAGGTGCTCTTACAGCGTCCCCCAAGCAGAGGAGAGGGTCCTCTTCCATCCTGAGGGGCGAGTCCAGCTCTGGGGATGCTGCCGGGGGGCACGTTCCGAAGGCAAAGCGGGTGGGCCTTTAAAACTGCCAGCACGCTGCAGCCCAAAGCTCCGGCAGTGGGAGGACGGAGTGCCTGGGGGCAGCGAAAGGGGGCGAGACCCTCTGGCTTGGTCTTGAGATCTGCTTGAGCCTGGGGCTGCCTCTTCCAATTTTGTGCTCTCTCCACTGGCACGAATACGCCTTGACCCATGGAGATGCTCCCTCCTTGACTTTGGGGCAACTTCAGATTAACCCCTTCTTTCCTTTTCCTTTCTCCCTTGCTTGCTGCAGGACATCTTCACACCCGAGTGCAAATTTAAGGAGTCCGTCTTTGAAAACTACTATGTTATATATTCCTCCACGCTGTACCGGCAGCAGGAATCGGGGAGAGCCTGGTTCTTGGGACTCAATAAAGAAGGGCAGATTATGAAGGGGAACCGGGTGAAAAAGACCAAGCCATCATCGCATTTTGTACCAAAACCCATAGAAGGTATGAGGCGTCGCTGCCTGCTTTCCTGGCATGAGGGGTGCGCATTTGCTCGGGGAGGTGGAGGCATGGCTTGCTGTGGGGATTGGAAGGGCCTTGGCTGTAGGTCCCAGGGATCTTTTGCTTTTGCTTCCTGGGAGAATGCGGCTGGGCTCACTTGCTTGAGCAATCTGGGTTTGCTGTTTTTGATTCCTTCTGCCTGTCTAGGCTCCCGATGGTTGCAATTGGGACTGTATGGTTGCTATAAGGAGGCCCTAAGGGGAGAGAGGCAGCCAGGCATCCCTCGTCTTGCCCCACAATAGCCTGCCATTCTAATTCGGAGGTGCGCACAGCGGCCGTTCCAGTGGGCCTAAGAAGGCAGGTTGCAAACCAGGACGGGGCCAGCCGAGCTCAGCCTGGGCATGACGTTCAGAGAACGCTGGCAGGCATCCCCGGCGCAGGCAGGGGCCTGGTCAGCCCTAGCTGGGGCTGCTGGCAGGGGCTGACCGTGTGTGGAGCCAGGCCTTCTCCGTGCCCGAGGCAGCGAAGTGCCTCCCCGGTCACGCACGCTCCCATCCTTTGGCCGGTGACGAGGCTCCCTGCTCCCATGCTTCCTCCTCCCTCCTCCGCGGCGCAGGGGGGGGCCTCGAGGCTCCGGGATCGTGACTGCTCCCTCTTCTCTTCTCTTTTCTTCTCTCCTCTCCTTGCAGTGTGCATGTACAGAGAGCCATCCCTGCATGAAATTGGAGAGAAACAAGGACGCTCCAGGAAAAGTTCAGGGACGCCCACCATGAACGGGGGCAAAGTCGTCAACCAGGACTCGACATAGCTGAGAGAACCGCCACCCGCCCCAGCATCTGACTTCTCCCCGCCCGCCCACCCACCCACCACCCGCCCAGGGAGCCCTCACCGAGACAGTGACGAACGAACGGAGCAACGCGGCGCTTCCGGCAGCGGCTGAGATTCTGAACTCGACCCCTCCCTTTGTGTAGGATGAGAAGACGCTGCCTCTTGCCATGTTCTAGAATTCAGCACACACACACACACACACACACACACACACACACACACACACACACACAGAGAGAGAGAGAGCAGGGGAGCACGTATGTCTGTACCGGTAGATAGGCAGGTAGCCAGAGATCTCTTTTCAATCAGGACTCCATCAACATTTTAAACAACAGCAAAACTGTTTGCTCTGTGATCAAGGGGGGAAATGGTTCATCTCTGCATAATAATAATTATAATAATTACAATAAATTAATTACTATCTAACAATAATAAATACATAAATAAAGGTGTTATCTTTAAAAATAAAACAAATTTGCTTTTGGAGAATTGAACTCTGTTTGTGATGTGAAAGCCAGTGCGAAGGTTGGTGAGAATCATGCAAGTTCTTTCATTTCATTTATTGATTAAATTGATACCGCACTTCCGTCCTTCAAGGAACTCGGGGTGCCTTATATCACCCTCCCGCCCTCCACAGCATTCTCACCGCCACCCCTGGAGGGAGGTTGGGCTGGGAGTCTGTGACTGGCCGAAGTCTCCTAGGGGGCCGCGCGGCTGCGTGGAGGCCCGAAGCCGGGCTTCGGGGTCCCAGCCCAACATCTCCAGCTGCACTGGCTTGCCAAAGCGACCCCAGCAGCGTCTCCCCCACCTGGCGGCCCTCGGGCATGTGGACTGCAGCTCCCAGAGTGCATCCAGCCTGACGGCTGGCTGAGAATCCCGGAAGCTGCAGTCCAAACGCGTCTGGAGGGCAAAACGGAGGGGAAGGCTGCCGAAGAGAACCTTCCAAACCTTTGGCTACTTCAAACAGGGCGGAGGGAGACTTGCCTCTGGATCAATCTCCATTCAAGCAGAGGCATCTGAGAGCGCGAATGTCGCAGCTGAGCCCCTTCTCACAGACGGGCGAGCCCACAGGCGCCTTTGCACGTGCATCGGGGCTGACGCGCGCACAGCGCCACAGGGCAGGCTCACCTTGGCGCACGGAGCCCGCTGCACATGCAGCTGCAAGTCGGACGAGTCCCTTTCCCGCCCCTGCTCAGCCCCACTCATTCGCACGACCAAACGCCCCAGGAGGAATCCTCTGCAGAGACCTGCGCGGGCATTTGTTCCCCAAGCAACCGGGCTTGTGGACGGCCTGGTGCGCTGCAAGGCGCGGGAGGCCTGGCTGGATGCGTGCATCCAGCAGGCCAGCCTCCCTCCAGACAGTCTCCCAGAAGTGGCGCGCGCGCGCGCGAGTGAGAGAGTGTGTGGGCGTGTGCGTGCGCGCGCGAGAGAGCGAGTGAGCAGTGCAATGGGGCCAACGGCCTAGGCGTGCGCGGTGCCCTTGGGCGGCCGTGTGCCAGGGGTGCTCGAAGGTGGCGTCCCGCTACAGCAGGGCCGGGCCGAAGTTCCTCTGGCGCGCCCCGGCTCTGCTCTTCCGCGCCCCGGAACGAGCCCTTCGCGAGTCTCCGCGGCTTCTGCAGCGGGACCGCCGGCGGCCTGCGGCGCCAGCCTTGCTGCGCGGCGAAGGACCTGCTGGAGCGCCTTTCTCGGCGCGGGGGGCGGCCGCGGGGGGCCCGGCTCGTGGGCCGCGGGGAGCCCTGGCCAGGGCGGTGGGCGATCGCTCGATCACGGGGACGCGCCGAAGGAGGCGGCTCCCGGGCGGGGCAAGCCCCTTGCAGGCGGGACGCAGGTCGAGGGCTCCCGGGCCGCGGGTCCCTTCCGAGCGCCCCGGCAGCACCGACCAGGGACGCGGCGGGCGCCCGGGCCCACCGCGCGCAGCCCTGCTCCGCGCCCCTCGCCTGCGCGCGCGAGGCCCCCGCGCCCCCGTCGCGGCTCCGGGCGCCCTCGGGACGACGCCCCTCCCCGCCGACCGGCTCTCCTCCCTCGGCCCTGCCCTGCGGATCCCCAGCGCCCCTCCGGGCAGGCGGGCATTGGGGCCGGCCACGTGCCTCGGAGCAGTGGGGCCGAGGGACCTTTGCCTGGCAGAGGCCAAGGGCGGCCCATTCCAGCCGCCCCTCTTCTCAGTCCCTTCACCGAGAGCGAAAAGGAGGGTTGTTCTGCAAGCACGGAGCACATGAGGTTAATGCCAGCAGCCCAGCCTTTGGTTATGCTTGTGCGTGTGCATGCACAGGCAGAGGCCCCGTCATAGTGGCACAAAAACACAACCCCAAGTGGCATCTGACGAAAATAAAGTGCAGATGAAAAATGCAGGAGTCCCCTGGGCAGCAGTTGTGAGAAGCAGCAAGCAAGGATCAGCATCTTCCGACTCCTAAGAAGGGGCGGTGTGCTTTGCTCCCGTTTCCCCACATTCCTGACATCGCTGTCACACTAACAGCTCATGGTGTGCCCTCCCCGAGCCCAGCCCCGTCTTCCCCGGGGACCCGCAGCTCCCTTCAAAGGCTGAGCAGCACTGCGGAAAGAACGCGGCTGGCACTGGCCGGCGCCGGCCGGCAAACTGGGAGGCTGAATTCTGGGGGAGCCTCGGCATGATGCTGGGATGAAAGGGAAGCCCTGCCTGCAGAAGCACAGGGCCTCAGCCAGGGCCGAGCTCAGGTGTGGGCACAGGCTCAGGATCAGGCCCCTCCTCTACCCTGCTGTCCCCGGGAGACGGCTCCACCAGCTTCATCGGCACCTTGGGAAGGACCAGAAGAGTCTGCCTGCGGGTGGAGATGGTGGCCACACGCCCTCTGCACACCTCGACAGCCCCGCAGGAATGCCTAGCCGGGACCAGGCAGACGCCCTCCCCCCTGGCCAGGCCCTGCTCCAGAACCTTCCCAGAGAGGAGGCCGCTTTTCTCCCGCTGTCAGTGGCTCAGCGCTGATTCTCGCCCCTTTCCGAGGGCTGCCTGCAGCAGGCGCCCCGTGCTTCCTCTGCCGTATTCATTGTCTCGGGCAATGGTCCCTCCATCATCCCGCGGCTGGCTGAGAGAAGGCAGCAGGCCAGCGCTGCACCCAGCCATCAGGTGCCAATGCGATCCCCCCCCAGAGACGACCAGCCCGGGCCGAGCCTGCGCAGGAGGCAGGAGGCAGGCAGGGTGTCCGGGGCCGTGCTGCGCCGGCTCGCTCCCCCTGGAAGCCGTTCTGTCGCCTTAAATCCAAGGTGTCAAGAAGCCGCCTGCAGGACCTGCCTCAGTCAGCAGTCCCTCCGCTCGGCCTCATGCATTGTCTGTGCTGCCAAGCCTCCCAGCCACCCGCTCTTCTCTTGTGGCTCGTGACCGGCCCAAGACTTGATCCCCCCCCCATCCATCCCCCCCTTCGCAGCCTCCTCTCGCAGCTCCCCGGCCCTCCCTGTCACCCACTCGAGCCCCTCCCTTGGCCCAGCAGCCTGGCCCTTCCAGCCCCACCAGTAGCCGGCAGATGGGTCCGGTGGTTCAAATCCAGATCCACAACTTCCACTGAGGAAGTTCCACATTTCTCTCAATGCTTTGCTCTCAGCACATCGCAGAAAAAAACACCATTTTCTTTTCTCAAGGTCTGCACATAATCGCCCACGTTGCCTCTCCTGAGAGCAGCCCTGCTGGTCCGGATCGGGGCCCTCCCAGTCCATGCGCACGCAGGCAGGCAGGCCCCCTGCCAACGGAGGTGGCCAAGTCCAGCAAGCCAAGTAGCCAGGGATGGCCTCCTTCTCCTCCATGGAATTGCCCAGTCTCCCCTTAAAGCTGCCAGAATGGATGCCCATCCGTACATCCCGTGGAAGCGAATTCCATAGGTTAACTATGCACTGGCTGGGGGAGCCCTCCCTTGGCTCTGTCCTGAATCTCCCACCCACCCGGTTCATGGAATAACCCTCTGGGTTCAAGTCTTACGGGAGAGCGAGAAGACTTTCTCCACCCTGTGCATGACTTCAAAAACCTCCGTCATGTCGGTGCTTCCTCCAACTCGGCTATTACCTTTTCAGGTGAGGCAACCAGAAATGAACGCGATATTCTAGGTGCAATGACACCAAAGGCTTGTATGTGGAGAGTAAGATCCTGGCCATTGGATTTTCTCTTCCATGCCCACTTCCGCCTTGCCTCCTTCGCAGCAGCAGCTGCGGTCTGGACAGGCGTTTGTACGCTGCTGCGCACCACCGCCCCGAGACCCCTGCCTCGCTGGGCCCCCCAGCCGCTCGCTCAGGTCCCATCAGCGTGCGCTTGAAGCTGGGGCCTTTTGCCCCAAAGCACCTTCCCTCTGCGCTTCGCTATCACGGTCCTGGGAAGCCACATGCACTTGAATGATTGCACCGTTGAACATCGTCCACGGAAGACTTAGGGCTGTAACACGGATCAAACGCGCCCATTAAGAGGATTCATTGTATTTGAATTGCGCTTTGAGCTTTTATGGCTGCCCACGAGTGCACGAGAACCCACACCGTTAAGTCAGAGGGTTTCCCATTAGTGAGGCAGGTCTGAGATGATCTGCGATAAAACTGCTGCAAGATTACAAAACACCATTAATGGTTTAAGACACACTTTAAATTTATTAACGTATCTACAAGATGGCGGGGGGAGGGAGGTGCCTGCTGTCCTTTGGAGACGGGGCATGGAGGACGGAGGCAGGCGCTCTTACCAGAGCCTGGGGAGCACAAAGGGGGGTGCGGAGAGGAGCCCCTGAAGCGGCTCTTTGGCAGAGCTGCACCAGCTCCGCCTGGGCAGTCGCTGGGGCCACACGAGTTCCGGGTGGCACCGCCTTGGCCAGGGAAAGCGGTGTGGGGCAGCACCGCAGGTGCTGGAATGGAGCTGGGCCGACCTGGGCTTTGGGCCCGGTGCCGCCAGGAAGCTCGCGCTCGGCTTGGGCCAGTTCCTGCCTCTTGGTCTCGCCTACCTCACAGGGTCGCTGTAGATAAAACCAAGCACTGCCCTGG